GCACACCTGGGCACACCTGGGCACACCTGTGCACACCTGGATCCTTGTGCACACCTGGATCCTTGTGCACACCTGGATTCCTGTGCACACCTGTGAACACCTGTGCCTCGTGCACACCTGGATCTTTGGGCACACCTGTGCCCGAGCACACCTGGGGCCTGTGCGCTCCCAGCCCTGGTGCACACCTGAGCACACCTGGGCTGTGCACACCTGAGCACACCTGGGCTGTGCACACCTGGGCTGTGCACACCTGGGGCTGCGCGCTCACAGGTCCCCGTGCACACCTGAGCACACCTGGGCTGTGCACACCTGGGCTGTGCACACCTGGGGCTGCGCGCTCACAGCTCCCCGTGCACACCTGGATCCAGCTGCACGTCCAGGTGTGCCCCCTGCACACGCAGCCCCCGCGCCCCCTGCACACGCGTGTGCGACGGGGCACAGGTGGGGCAGTGACACACCTGGGCAGGTGTGACAGCGACACACACCTGTGTGAGCACAGACACTCGGGAAGGTGTGACAGCGACACACACCTGGGCAGGTGTGACAGCGACACACACCTGGGCAGGTGTGACAGTGACACACACCTGGGCAGGTGTGACAGCGACACACCTGGCCAGGTGTAACGATGACACGCACCTGTGAGCATGCGCAGGTAACGGCTGCAGGTGTGAACACAGAGCAACGCGGGTGTGGCAGTTCTCACACCTAAGTGTGCAAATGTGCTGCTGCCTGAACACACCTGTGCTCACCTGTGCTCACACCTGTGCTCACACCTGTGCACACCTGTGCTCACACCTGTGCTCACACCTGTGCACACACCTGTGCACACACCTGTGCACACCTGTGCTCACACCTGTGCACACACAACCACAGCCCCCCGTGCAATCGCACGGCCAGGTGAGCACGTGCCCCTGTGCGTGTGCAAATGGGCTCACACAGGTGTGTGCGTGGCTGCACAGGTGTGCACAGGTGCGTGTGACTGAACAGGTGTGTGTTCACACCTGCTCACATGGGCACACACGAGCAGACCTGTGCTCATCTGTGCACACCTGTGCTCACACCTGTGTTCAGCTTTGCACACCTGTGCACACCTGTGCTCAGTTTTGCACACCTGTGCTCACACCTGTGCTCAGTTTTGCACACCTGTGCACACCTGTGCTCAGTTTTGCACACCTGTGCTCACCTGTGCACACCTGTGCTCACCTGTGCTCAGTTTTGCACACCTGTGCTCACACCTGTGCTCACCTGTGTGCACCTGTGCACACCTGTGCTCAGTTTTGCACACCTGTGCACACCTGTGCTCACACCTGTGCTCACACCTGTGCTCACACCTGTGCTCACACCTGTGCTCACACCTGTGCTCACACCTGTGCTCACCTGTGCTCAGTTTTGCACACCTGTGCTCACACCTGTGCTCACACCTGTGCTCACCTGTGTGCACCTGTGCACACCTGTGCTCAGTTTTGCACACCTGTGCACACCTGTGCTCACACCTGTGCTCACCTGTGCTCAGCTTTGCACACCTGTGCTCACCTGTGTGCACACCTGTGCTCACCTGTGCTCACCTGTGCTCAGCTTTGCACACCTGTGCACACCTGTGCTCAGTTTTGCACACCTGTGCTCACCTGTGCTCACACCTGTGCTCAGCTTTGCACACCTGTGCTCACCTGTGCACACCTGTGCTCACCTGTGCAGCCCCGCACACGCGTGTGTCACGGCCCCTCCCCCTCGTGCCGCGCCCCGGGCGGGGGGCGGGGCCAGGCTGAGGGGGCGGGGCCAGGCTGAGGGGGCGGGACCCCAACCCGGGGTCCCCTTCTCTTTTCTCTCCTCTTCTCGCTGCCCCCCGTGTCCCCCTGTCTGTCCCCTCGCTGTCCCTCTGTCCCCCGTGCCCCCTGATCCGCCTGTCCCCTCCCGTGTCCGTGTCCCCTCGTGTCCCCACGCCTGTCGCCGTGTCCGTCTGTCCCCTGTCCCCATGCCTGCGTCCCCACGTCCGTCCCTGTCCCCTGTGTCCGTCCTTCTGTCCCTGTCCCATGTCCCCATCTGTCCCCGTGACTGCCATCCATCCGTGCCCCCGTCTGTCCGTGTCTGTCACTCTGTCCCTGTGTCTGTCCCCCCACCCATCCCCATCCCCATGCCCTCCATCCGTCCGTCCATCCATCCGTCCGTCCGTCCGTCCGTCCGTCCGTCCGTCCGTCCATCCATCCATCCATCCATCCGTCCATCCGTCCATCCGTCCATCCGTCCATCCATCCACCCATCCATCATCCATCCATCCATCCGTCCATCCATCCATCCATCCATCCTTCCGTCCATCCATCTCCGTGTCCCCATGTCTGTCCCCACCCCCGTCCTCCTGTCCCCCTTCCGTCCGTGTGTCTGTCCCCCAACCCATTCCCCTGTCCCTCCCCCATCCCTGTGTCCGTGTGTCTGTCCCCGTGTCCCTCGCCACCCGTCCCGCCTCCTCTCCCCTCCCGTGTCCCCATCCCTGTCCCACTCTCTACGCCTGTCCCACAAACCACCCGTGTCCCCCTGTCTGTCCCCACCGTCCCCGTGTCCCTATGTCCGTCCCTGTGTCCCTCTGTCTGCCCCTCTCCGTGTCCCCATCCTCCCGGTGTCCCTCTGTCTGTCCCTCTGTCTGTCCCTCTCTGTGTCCCCGTGCCCCTCCCCGTGTCCCTCTGTCTGTCCCACCCTCCCCGTGTCCCTCCCCGTGTCCCTCTGTCTGTCCCACCCTCCCCGTGTCCGTGCCCCCCGTGTCCCCCCGCAGTTTTCGTCTGCCCGGGGGTGCCGCAGCGCGTGGGGCCGGCGCTGTCCACGCACGAGTCTCCGCACCAGGCGGGCGGCTGGTGCCGGGACCCGCTGCAGTCGGGGGACCGGCTCTACGTGCTGCCCTGGGTGCCGTACCGCACCGACACGCTCACCGAGTACGCCTCCTGGGCCGACCTGGTGGGCGCCCGGCCCGCGGCCACGCACCGCCTCCCGCACCGCGCCGACGGCACCGGCTTCGTGGTGTACGACGGCGCCGTGTTCTACAACAAGGAGCGCACCCGCAGCATCGTCAAGTACGACCTGCGCACCCGCATCAAGAGCGGCGAGACCGTGGTGGGCGCCGCCAACTACCACGACACGTCCCCGTACCGCTGGGGCGGCAAGACCGACATCGACCTGGCGGTGGACGAGGAGGGGCTCTGGGTCATCTACGCCACCGAGGGCAACGGCGGGCGGCTGGTGGTGAGCCAGCTGAACCCCTACACGCTGCGCCTGGAGGGCACCTGGGAGACGGGCTACGCCAAGCGGGCGGCCTCGGACGCCTTCATGGCGTGCGGGGTGCTCTACGTGGTGCGCAGCGTCTACCTGGACGACGACACGGAGCACCTGGGCAACGCGCTCGTCTACGCCTTCGACACGCGCCGCGGGCGCGGCTCGGCGCTGGCGCTGCCCTTCCCCAACCCGTACCAGTTCGTGGCCTCGGTGGGCTACAACCCCCGCGACAACCAGCTCTACGTGTGGAACAACCACTTCCTGCTGCGCTACGGCCTCGACTTCGCGCCCCTCGACGGCGACGGTCAGCGGGGAGGGCTGGGGGTGCGGGGAGAGGGGAGCGGGGAGAGGGGAGAGGGGAGAGGGGAGCAGGAGGAGGAGGACGATGACGAGGAGGAGGAGGAAGATGAGGAGGACAAGGGTGCGGGGTGCGGGGTTTGGGTGCGGCCGCGGGGCTTGGGGAGAGGTGGGGAGACGACTTGGGGGGAGCCCTGGGGATCCCGGTTTACTTTGGGGGAGCCCCGGGGGTCCTGGTTTATTTTGGGGGGAGCCCTGGGGGTCCTGGTTTGCTTTGGGGGAGCCCTGGGGGTCCCAGATTATTTTGGGGGGAGCACCTGGGGGTCACAGCTTATTTTGGTGGTCTCGGTTTGCTTTGGGGGTTCAGTCTCGGGTACTTGGGGGGAGCCCCAGATTTTTAGGAGCCCTGGGGGTCCTGGGTTACTTTGGGGGTGCAGCCCCAGGTGCCTGAGGGGAGCCCCAGCAAGTTGTGGGGGGCCAGTTCACCTCGGGGGTGCCCCCCCAATGCCCCCAGGGAGCCGATTTAGTTGAGGCAGAGCCCTGGGTGTCCTGATTCATTTTAGGGGGAGCTCTGGGGGTCCAGGTTTATTTTTGGGGGAGCCCTGGGGGTCCTGATTTATTCTGGGGGGAGCCCTGGGGGTCCCGGTTTGATTTTGGGGAGCCCCGGGGGTCCCTGTTTACTTTGGGGGAGCCCTGGGGGTCCTGATTTGTTTTGGGGGGAGCTGTGAGGGTCCAGGTTTATTTTGGGGGCAGCCCTGGGGGTCCCGGTTTGCTTTGGGGGAGCCCTGGGTGTCACAGCTCATTTTGGGGGTCGCCCTGGGGGTCCCTGATTACTTTGGGGGTACAGCCTGAGGTACTTCGGGGGAGCCCCAGCAAGTTGTGGGGGGCCAGTTCACCTCGGGGGTGCCCCCCCAATGCCCCCAGGGAGCCCCCAATGTGTGGGGGGAGCACTGGGGGTCCCAGTTCACTTTGGGGGTGCAGCCCCCGGCCCCAGAAGGACCCCCGGGTGTTTTGGGGAGCTCTGGTTTGTGCTGGGGGGCCCTCCCGGTGTTGTGGGGGTCCAGTTTGGTTTTGGGGTGTCACCCCCACCCGGGGGGGCAGCCCTGAGGGTCGGGGTTTACTCTGGGGGTGCCCCAGTTCGTTTTGGGGGGACAGCGGTCTTGGGGGGACCCCTGTGGGGGTCTGGAGTCACTTTGGGGGACCCCCAAGCGCTCGGGGGCACCTCCGTGTTGATTTTGGGGGTCTCGCTGTGCCCCAGTCCATGGCGGGGGTCCGGGGTCACTTTGGGGGGGGGGGCATCAGCCCCTCCCCCCCATCGGGCACCCCTTGGGGGGTTCAGGGGGGTCCCCCAGGTCCTGAACTCCCCCCCCCCGTT